AGTGGCGCTGTGGCTCAAGTGGTAGAGCACTAGCCTTGAGCTGAAGAGCTGAGGGACAGCGCCCAGGCCCAGAGTTCAGGCCCCATGACCAGACCTGTTAAAAAAAAAAGATGGGAAAGGCTGGCCTTTGGCTTTGGTGTGGCTCAACACCTGTAATCCTTAGCTACTCAGGAGACTGAGATCTGAGAATTGGTGTTCGAAGCCAGCCTGGGCAGCAAAGTTCGTGAGACTTATCTCCAATTAATCATCAGAAAACTGGAAGTGGAGCTGTGGCTCTTCAATGGTAGAGAGGGAAAAATCTCAGGGAAAGTGCCCAGGCCCTGAGTTCAAGCCTCAAGACCAAAAAAAAAAAAAAGTAAAAAGACAAGTCCTTTCAGCCAAAAAAAGTTCACTAATTGAATTTGTGTGTGTGTGTGTGTGTGTGTGTTCCCTTGCTAGCCTTGGGGCTGGAACTCAAGGGCTGGGCTCTGACCCTGGACTTTTGTGCTCAGTGCTAGCACTCTACCCCTTGAACTACAGCTCTATTTCCAGCTTTTTGGTGATTAATTGAACTTTTCTGCCCAGGCTGGCTTTGAACTATGATCCTTAGATTTCAGCCTCCTGAGTAGCTAGGATTACTGGCATGAGGCACTGGCACCTAGCTTGAATTGGTGTTTACTGAACAGTGACTATGCATACCCTGGGGAAAACAAGATTTGAATTTTATTCCAATAGGAGGTTACTGAATGAGAATATGCCATGTCTATTTACAGCCTTATAAAAGTTCCTGATTTTAGCCTTCCTCATAATCAGTTCTTCCCATTTCTCTTGTGAACTGGTATCTCTCCCTTATGTACATAGAATTTTGGAGGTGGTGAGAGACATCAGATCTAAATATTTGCCTTCCTAATATTTGTTAGAGGACTGTGCAAGATCTTTTCAGCTGTTCTTACCTTCCCAGGCCGGGAAGGGGCCATGAGCCTTTTAAGTTTTTATTATTTTTGTTGGTGGTTGTGGGGCTTGAACTCTGGGTCAGGGTTTTTTCCCTGAGCTCTTTTTGCTCAAGGCTAGCACTCTACCATTTTGAGTTGCAACTCCACTTCCAATTTTCTGGTGGTTAACTGGAGATAAGAGCCTCATCGACTTTCCTGTCTGGACTGCTTTTGAACTGTGATCCTCAGATCTCAATCCTCCTAAGTAGCTAGGAATACAGACATGAGCCAACATGCCATGCCCCTCCCTCCCATCTCTTCTTTCCCTCCTTTTTTGCCAGTACTGGGGGTTGAACTCAGGGCCTGGGCACTGTCCCTGAGCTAGCACCCTACCACTTGAGCCATCACGCCACTTCTAGTTTTTTCTGTTTATGTATACTGTACTGAGGGCTTCATGAATGCTAGGCAAGCATCTGCACTAAGCCACATTCCCAGCCAGTATCTGAGATTTAACCCAGGGCCTCACAAGTGAACTACAGAGTCATACCTTTGCCTGCAGATCTATCCACTTTATACTACAAAGGTATATGGAACTAGATCTCACCACATATTTAACGTAACTATGAAATTCCTTTATCTTCTTTCTTGAAGAAAGTATCATAGGTTTTTTTTTTCTTTTTCAGATATAACTCAGGAAACTATGTAGTGCCAGGGCACAGAAATACAGATTACAGCTCTCTAGCAACTAGCAGTCTAGAAAAATGTCAGCGCCATATTTTCTATAGACTGTGAGTTCCTAGAGAGGAGAAATCCTAGCTGAATTATCCGTATATCCTAAGGTCTAGCAGCCCTGCCATACTCAACTGTTTCTGACATAGTTGGTGGCTGATAAAATGAATTGTCCATCTTCGGCTGGATGCTCAAGGGCCTAAATGTCTCAGGGAGAAAACGTGAGGCTGAGGCAAAGCCAGACCCTGCCTGAGCCACCCTGCAGAGGTTTCTCTTTTCCTTTGCCTTTCCCTCCAACAGAGTCCTCAGTGTCAGTTCCCTGTGCCTTAAATACACAAGGCTGAGGGTTTTCACTGCATTCATGAACAATGCCTGGTTTCTCTTCTGACCATGCCCCAGGGAAGGCAGAGATGGGCTTCACTCTCCGGGCTGCTCCCAGTGTGTTGCTGGACACAGGTTTATCATGAAGGCAGTGATGCAATCATCAGGATTTCTGACAGTCCTCTAAGAACTACTTCCCACTGATTAAACCATAAAGGAGTACAAGTGTAAATTCTAGGCCTCAAAGAGACATTTGCTCCCTGAAATACATCTCACTCTCTGGAAATTTCCCTAACAATCTGTCATACTCAGGAGAGTTGGAACTCAGAAGGGTGCCCTGGGGCTGGTTTTACAGATCTGGGCCTGGAGGAGTTTCTCCTGTTGACTTGGCCAAATATGGGAACCAGTGGAGAAATACAGAATTCTCGAGTACCCGTTAGGTAAAATATCTTCTTCAGGGCTAGGAAGGTGGCTTAGTGGTAGAGTGCTGGCCTTGCATGCTGGAAGCCCTGGCTTCGATTCCTCGGTACCATATAAACAGAAAAAGCCAGAAGTGGCACTGTGGCTCAAGTGGTAGAGTGCTAGCCTTGAGCAAACAAAGCGCAGGGACAGTGCGCAGGTCTTGAGTTCAAGCCCCAGGACTAGCAAAAAGAACACACAAGAAAAATCTTGGATTGTCTTTTCACTTTCCCACATTGAGAAAACTTCTACAGGGTGAGGCTCATTTGTGATACTCCCCAATCCCTTGTCCCCTTCCTTAGCTAAGGACCCATGTGACAGGAGTAGGGACAGAGAGGCCCGATAGGTACAAGATCACACTTCCTAACTGAGCAGCTTCGTTTAATTCGTCCTGTTCGGAACGCCCTGTCTCCACACTACTGAGGCTCCTTTGGGAAATGGTGAAGGTCTTCACACAGTTCCCACTGACCGTTTTCCTTTTTCTTCTGGGGCAGATAGCCACTCCTGTTTGCAAAATCAAGACAATCACAGTTACACATTTTCCCAAATCTTTGGCTGTATTGCAATGGTTGTTTCATTTTGTAATCTCCAACTAAACATTTCCTAACCATGGATTAACAATATAGTTACTGACTGGTTTCTTTTTTTTTTTTTTAACAGTATTTATCCAACATAACAAAATAAACTGCAATTTGTTATACTTTTTTTTTTACAAAACATTTTATAAATATTTTTACAAAATGTATACAAAGCAATTTCAAGTGAGACATACTATACAAATGAAGGTATTTAAGCAAATAAAAGCCACCCCACACTGCCAGCGAGTGACGCGTCTTCTGTAGTCGTCAGTCTGTAAGGCCTCCCTAATCTAACAGAGTCTACTAAACTCTTCAGAGCTAAAATGTTTCTTTTTCGTAATTGCCAGTTTAAAATTTGCTTTATCTTTAGGCAGTACTTAAGGACACAAAATCAAATGCGTAATAACAAAGTCACACTTTTCCACAACAACAAACAGGAAATTTTTTTTTTAAGGAGAATGATTTTTTTTCTTTTTTGATACGAAGCACAAGTTATTCCTTAACTTTGACTAATGAACCCAAACACTGAACGTTGGCCGTGAGAGGCTGAGCGCCCCGCCCCCCGCCCCCCCGCGCGCCAGCCAGAGGGGCTCAACGGTCCAGCTATGACCCATGTGCGCAGAACCTAATCACAGGAGCAAAATACATTTCATAGTCTTCATTTGTCGTTATCTAGAATCTTTCCTCCATAAAAAGTAAACTTACATACAAGTACACAAAAATTTACAAGTGTTCATTTGGGTGATTTAGGCTCTCCATTAGCTGGATACGTTTTAGGGGTTTGAAAACCTGTATGATGACCTATAAAAAAGCTAGGATTGATTGGGGTGACGGGCAGGGGAGGGAAGAGGTGACAATGTACAAGAAGCTTGTCTCTTAAAAATTCCTGATTTGCAGTGATTAATATAATTCATTAGCAGCCTAGGTGAAGGCTTCCAGGGACCGTTGTGAGAGGGGGAGTGTGAGGCGGAGGAGAGGAACGTGTGAAATCTGGGGTTCAGGGCAGGCGCTGATCAGGGCTGCCCAAACAGAGTTCCAACTGGCAATCCTAACTTATCTTGTAGTACAGGAAGAAGGGGAAATCTTCAACTTGGACATTGGCACAAATAAGGGGAAAAATGGTAGCCCTACAATGGCTCAGATTTTGCTATTTCCATAGGCCAGAGCTGGGAGGGAGAAGCAGGGCCTTCTGTAGACTGCCTGCTCACAGGGTTGCTTTGGGCAGTGAGACAGTGCCAGGAAGGCAACAGGTCTGTTGCCACGGGCTTTTATTTGTTGTTGTAGTTTGTTTTTGAGACAGGGTCTCACTATGTAGCCCAGGCTGGCCTTGAACTTGAAGTCTTCCTACCTCAGCATCAGAGCTGGAGAATGCTGGGATTGGGCTACCACGCCTGGCTTAGTGCTGTTTTTGAAAAAATCAGAAGCCTTCCTTTCTATGGTAGGCCAAAGTGGAAAGGAAATGCCCAACATGATGACACTTGGGGTCACCCCCATTTGGGGGACATGTCCACAGCAGACCTGTGGGTGCAGAGGCACCCACAGTAATCAAGAGGACTGTGGGTCTCCATAGCTCAAACGCAGCACCTCAGGTGGCTTTCTCAGTGACCACCACTGTCGCTGGAAGTAGCAACAGAGAGGGGTGAGCGGGCAGGTGCACAAGGGAGGAGGATGGGGAACTCCCTGAACAGAGAGAAATAAAGCAGTGAGTCGCGTTCACGAGATGAACACGAGACAAACGCAAACCGTGGCGGGCCTTCCCTTCGGCTGTCCTAGGTCTGGGGGCTCAGCGCTTTCCTTCAGTGTTGGGCCGGCTGGTTACCTTTGGTGTGTCTGTGTTTTGGTAATGAATGCTGCCAGGGGTGACTACTGCTGTCAGACAAGAAGAATGAACAAGGGCAAAGTCTCCTTCAAGTTGAAAATGAAAAAAGAAAACTGAAAACCTAGTTTTCCAACAAAAGTGCTTTTTGACGCTTGGCTACTGGAGAGTTTAAGCAAAACAGAGCCCAGCAACACGAGAGCCTGCGCGGCACGCTGACTCCGCCCGACTAGAAAACGCACAACTCTTGTTTTTCTCAATAGTTAACATATATATGCTTTGACATATATACATAGGCTAACCCTCATGGCTCTACCCAACCTCCCCAGTACACTCAACTTTTCCCTTTTCCCGTATTTACCCTGCTGAGATGATTTCAACTCACACGCTGAGCTGAGTTCTGAGCATTCCCTAGGTGAGATCGGCACAGGGAAACCCGAGAGCGTGAGCTTTGCTCCTGGACATGGGAAAAACACTGGGATGGCGGCGCAGGCGCCCTGCCTTGTGTGCTGCTGGCGTCTGAGACCAGCTGTGCGGTCCAGGCAGAGCAGCCAGCAACTAACCTCCCAGAGGGCCGCGTCGGGAGACATGGGCGGTCTTCCTGTAACAGCCCCCCCACCAAAAACACAAACCAAAAACGCCCACTAAATTTAAGAGCTGCAGTGAGATATTCTCTACAAAGTCGCTTCTATCAGTCCTGTTTGATTTTTGTTTTTTAATAAGTCTGTTCTTTTCAAATGACTTACTGATTGTCAAAATTTTACCCAAGGGCCAAGTGTATTGTGATCTCATTGAGTGACAGTGTTTTAAAAAAATGAAAAAAAGAAAAAGAAAACAAATAAACAAGAACAACGAAAGACTGTAAGCACTTTGGTAACACTGGGAGGGTGAGGGGCCTATCAGACTGCACGAAGATCTCCCTGGAACCATGGCGGTATTGCTCTTAAACAAAGACCAGGACTGCGAGGTGGGGAAGTGAGGAAAAGGGGGAGGAAGAGGAGGAAGGGGAAAAGGGGAGGAGAAGGAGGAAAAGGAGGAGGAGGAGGAACCTGTGCGGAGGTCTAGCAGGCTGGAGACAGGAGACCGTTTCCATTTGCTTTGCCGGGAGAGAATGGAGCGTGTCCGGGGCGGGTGTCGGGTGGGGAGGGACGGCTGCTATTAACACTCTAGGATACTATTTACAGCTGCTTCTAATATGGAGTCCGTTTCTACGACGCCTTCACTGTGGTCCGGGATGAACTTTTCCAGGCAGTTTTCCTGCGAGGCCATCGGAGAGAAGTTGGGGAAGTCTAACTCCATGGAGCCGCTCACCGTGGGGTCGCTCTGAGGCTGCCGCCCAGCCTTTTTGAGCTCCAAGATGTTCTTAAAAGTTGTTTCTAAACTCTTGGTGAGCTGAAGGTCGGCCTGGGGCTCCCCCGAGCCCCTCAGGATGTCGGTGCGCAGAACTTCATTCTTTGGCGAACTCCTCAGCGCCCTGTCCTGGAAGGAGCTGTTGCACGTCATCTCCAGGTGAGGGTCCACCAGGAGGCTGGACAGCTTGCCGTCAGTACCATGATCCGGTCTGGACGAGGTTTTGCGGGGCCCCTCGGTGCCCGGAGAGCCCTCACCCGCCCTCACGGGGTCTCTCCGGCTGCCCCTGTCCTCGTTCGCACTCCGGTACTGAACTGGGCCCGCTTTGTCACGGGTCGGCACTCGGCATTCTGTGTTTTTAGAAACGCTCCCCTCTGCGGAGACCACCATGTGGTTAGGCACTGCATGAGATTGGTCATGATTCAGTGGTTCGGCCACGCCTGGTTTGGCTCGGTCTCTGCTTTGGGCCTTAGCCCCCTGATGTAAAGAGCTGGTCACTTTCCCACCAGCCTGGTCACTGCGGCCACACTGGGTCTCGTGAGCAGCTTTATCAGGCTTCAGGGAACAACAGAAGTCAGCCTGGAAGCCCTCTGCAGATGGGAGCAGAAAGAACATTAGTGAGTAAATCAGAGCTGGCTGCAGTGGCACACACTATAATAAACTGTAAACTAGCTACTCGGGAGAGGTACAGTTGGAAGCCAGCCCAAGCAAGAAGATTGTCAGACCCATTCTCAACAGAAAACGCTGGGTGTGGTGGACTGCGCCTGTCAATTACAGTGGAGGCATAAACAGGATGGAGGACCACGCTAGCCTGGAAAGCTTGAAACTGTATCTCAAAAGTAACAAAAATCACTGGATGCTGGTGGCTCCTACCTGGCATCCTAGCTACTCAGGAGGCTGAGATCTGAGGATCACGGTTCAAAGCCAGCCCAGCCCAGGCAGGAACATCTGTGAGACTCCTATCTCCACTTAACCACCAGAAAACTGGAAATGGCGCTGTGGTTCAAATGGTAGAGCACTTGCCTTGAGCTGAAGAGCTGAGGGACAGCGCCGAGGCCCAGAGTTCAAGCCCCATGGTTGACACACACACACACACACAAAAGCAAAAAGGGCTTGAGGAGGTATAGTTCAACTGGTAGAGCATTTGCTTAGCAAGTGTGAGGTTCTGGGCTCAAACCCAGGTACTGCCAAAAAAATCTTTTATAGATAGTATCAAAATTTAAGCTGTAGTCCTTGACGGGTACTGTGGTCACACCTGTAATCCTAGTTACTCAGGAGGCTGAAGATCTGAGATCATGGTTTGAAGCCAGCCCAGGAAGAAAGGTCTATGCGACTCTGTTATTCCCCAAAAGCCAGAAGTGGCTCTGTGGCTTAAGTGGTAGAGTGTTGGCCTTGAGCAAAAACAAAACAAAAATAAAATAAAACAAACTCAGGGCCAGTGCTCAGCTCTGAGTTCAAGCTCCAGGACTGGCACCAAAAAAAAAAAAAAAAAAGAACTATAGTCTTTATTATCCAGAGGGCTGGGGCAGGAATGATCAAGTCAGTGCATGGATTTGTGACCAGCCTGAGAAACACGGGAGACTTCATCTCAAAAGAAACAAAACAAAAATTCGGAGGCTCATGCAAAAATATAGAGGAATTTTAAAAGTAAAGAGGAGTGTACTCATGATCTTCCCGCCTCTGGCTTCTGAACGCTGGGATTACAGGTGAACACCACTACAGAGTAATCCAAGACTCTTTGTGTGGATGTTGGCACTGGGGGCCTGAATTCCCTCTCCTTTAGCTTTTTAATCCAAGGTTGGTGCTATTCCACTTGAGACTTCACTTCTAGCTTTTGGCTGATTAATATGAGTTAAAGAATCTCATTGAGGGGCTGGGAAGGTGGCTCAGTGGTAGAGAGCTTGCCTTGCATGCCAGAGGCCCTGGGTTCGATTCCTCAGCACCACATAAGCAAAAAGAAAAAAGCCGGAAGTGGCGCTGTGGCTCAAGTGGTAGAACGCTAAGCCTTGAGCTGAAGAGCTGAGGGACAGCGCCCAGGCCTAGAGTTCAGGCCCCACGACCAGACCCCCCCTCCAAAAAAGAAAAAGCA